TTTTTCTTCTTACTGCGCTGTAGCCCCGGCGCTGTACGTATGGGAAGACTCGCTGCTCTTCTTGCTGTCCCGGCGATCCCCGGGGTGGAAGTGGTGGCCACAATTGGAATTTGAGCCGCCATTCCTGCCCCGAGTCTCCGTCCTCCCCCCTCCCTGCTTCAGGGCAGGCCCTGGAACTTCCGGCCCGCCGGTGCTTCCGCCGTTCAGCTTCTGAAAACCCGGCCTGGACTCGGAAAGCTTTCGTCGACTTCTCTCGGCCGAATCTAAAAGGCGGAGCTCGGAGCCGTCTGTTCCTTCCGGGCGGGAGGGCGTCAGCCGGGCCCGAAGCCGGGCACGTGCCTGGAAGTCCCGAGATTGAGGACCAGAACATCTCGCGATCTTTCTTAAAAACTAAAGTTTTTAAAAAATTCATCACCATGTTGTCTCTTCTCACGTTAGTCAGAAGACTGATCACTTTTCCTGTCTGTAAGTGTAAAGGTAAGGTCGTTCTCTGTGGATTAGACAGACCACCAGACCTCGAGCTTTCCTCTTGGTCGCAGCCTTGTTGTTCAGAAGTTTGTGTTTCAGTGGTGCCCTGATGGACTTGAGGGGTTCTTAACTTTTTAGGGGTCACAGACCCCTTCGTGCATGTAAGCCCCTCCAAGTGTACAGGCATAGACAAAATCTTACATACAGATGTCAGCAGTTCACAGATGTGGTAAAACCCGTTTATGAACTTCAGTGGAACACCCCTCCGCCTTGTTACTTGCCACATACTACTCCATACTTCTTCAAACCTTTATGACGCAGATTACAGGATCTACATGATGTAATTAGTTGTGTAATTTCTTTTTTGGCTTCTGCTAGAAAGTAGGCTCTGTAAGGGAAAGGCCAGATGTGTTTTGCTCACCTTCTTTCCCAGGTCACAAGTACCTTGTAAGATGTTGGTACATTGTAAGTATTTTTTAAATGAAGTAATTTTAAAAACTGGATGAACCCTTGCAGTAACTGGTTGAAGCTGCTGTGTTCTGATAGAGGAAAGTGGTGTTTATGAATCAGGGTATATGAAGGAAATAGACTGCAGAATGACTCAAAGGTCATCATCCTCCCTCCTCTTCTAAAAGAACACTCTTCCTTCAGGGCTTTCCATCTCAGTAAATGCCACCGTTATCCACCAGTTATTCAAACCGGAAACCTGGGAGTCATTCTGGACTCCTCCCTTCTGTCCACCTGTGCACTGTAACCCCACTCCAGCCACCCCCATCCCTCTCTAGGACCCCTCCATTGCTTTTTTATCTCCCTGCTTCCATCTTTGGTCCCTCCAGCCCAGTTCCCACATGCAATTCCACATGACCTCTTCAACAATACGGATGTGCACATTTAGATCATCTACTTGAAACCCTTCATGGGTTTCCCATGGTCCCTAGAATGAAGTCAGATGTCCATAAGATGGATGTAAAGGCCTTCAGGGAGCTGTCCATCTCTCCAGCCTTGCCTGTCACCCAGCCGTCTGCACTCCAGTCCAGTTTTCACTTTTGTCAGTTCCCACAACCATCTGTGTTCCCTCCTCCCTCAGGGCCTTCATTCATGCTGCACAGGCTTCTGCCTGGGAGCTGCTTGTCTCCCCACACCACCCTCTGGTCTCATTTTTTTTCCACCCACCCTTCCTGTCTTGGCTGACATGCTATTATATTTAGCCTTCCCCATCAGTCTGGTTTGGTTAAAACCCCTTGTTCCGTGTTCTCATCAGTCTTAGTCATCCAGTAGCTAGTGAGAGGTTGTAATATGCCAAGCCCTGAGGATGGAGACAAGAGCAAACAAAACAGAATAGTCCCTGCTCTCAGGAAGCCCCCAGTCTAGCAGGGAAAGAGGAACATTAGATTTCTTCTCCTCTGGACAGAGACTCTCTGTGGGCAGTTGCCAGGGTCATCAAGGGTTGAGTGGCAGAACACCAACAGATGATTAGCAACAAGGAAAGTGAGAGGCATGCGGGAGGATGTCCACTCAAGGGAGCAGAAGTTCTGGGCTGGGGAGAAACCTGTTCCATGGCCACCTTGGCAGCCATCACCACACAGCTTGAGCCCATGCGGGGGCCCCACGCACTCGGTTGCAGGGGTAGCTCACGTGCTCCCATGCCTACTGCTAGAGATAAGTGAGTGCTGATGACCTGTGTTCTGCTAGCTTCCGCGTGGAGGCAGGGCCTAAGCCGTCCCTAAGTCCCTTCCCCAGTTGTTCCTAAGAACTTGCAGGGCGTGTCTGTGGCAGTACGGGGCCTCTCTCTGTACTTCCTCCCCAGCCTCCTCGCTGGTACCTCCTGCTCCTGTGTCCCTCACCAAGTGCCACACTTCCCGTGGTGAAAGCGAATGCTGACGCCCTCACTGTGGCTGCCAATTAAGCAGCTTTAGCTAGAGTCTTGATCCCAGTTAAGACATAATGATTAAGAATAAATACAGTTGACCTTGAACAACACAAATTTGCATGGTGTAGGTCCACTTATTCAAGGATCTTTTTTTGATAAATACATCTGTATGGTACTGTATAGTCCCCCAGTGGTTGAATCTACGAATGCGGAACCGTATATCCAGAGGGCTGACTATAAAGTTATATGAAGATTTTCAGTTGCACAGGGTGGGCCCCACAACCCCCGTGTTGTTCAAGAGTCAGCTGTAACGTGCTTGTCAAATGACCCCACATCGTCTGAACTGTAAAGTATCTATCGTGTCAAAAATCTCAGGAAACACAGTGCATATTGGGATCATGCCATCAGCTGGAAGACACGCCGCCCCTCTTCTCTTGGAAACTTGTGTGAAGTGTGATGGTTGTTGCTCACTGTATAAACAGTGGCTGCTCCAGTTGGCATGGGACTCCTTGGTGATGCGGAGAGACATTGAAGCTGTAGTCAAGACCCTCAGGATCCCCAGCTCCCAGCCCCCGAGAGAGGAGTAGAGCCTGCAGTGCGTGTCCCGAACTGTGGGGCTGCGCGACCCGGAATAGCCCCACCGTAACCAGAAGCTGACGGAGGGAGCCCAGAGATGGTCACGGTCCTGTCTGGACTTGTTCTTTGGATATCACCTCTCAGGAACCTTCTCTGATCTCCATTCCTCCCTTAAAACCAACTGAGACGTCCCTCAAGGAGGTGTGCTTGGTGGCCTGTTTCCTCCATCACAGGACAAACTACAGTGTGTGAATTGTAGGCTCACTTGGGCAGAGACAGGTTTTATTTTGTCACGATTTTCAGAGCCTTGCAGGCCCTCATTGGTGCTCTGCTGACTGCCTCGTTACTGAAACTGTTAATCGTCTAGAAGGAGAGAACACAGGTCAGTGGAGGGTGGGAAGGGGTCTCTGTTACCACAGTTGCTTATTTTTCACCTGACAGATGCATGGAAATATTTAACGGCAGAAAAGAGAGAGTGACTGAAAATAGGCTTGACCCTAACATTTGCAGGGTCCGGGGCAAGAATATAAATGGAAGCCTACTTAACCACGTGTCTGGATATTTAAATGTACAAATCAAGCTAATAAACCGTAGAATAGAGTATGTCCTATCTTCTGCCTCGGCAAACATACCTTCATAACTGAGAAGGCCAAAGCCGGATTTAGGGTTCTCAGATTCCATGGAGTTCTGCTGCAGGGGTGGTAGCCTGAGGACAGCCTGGCCCGGGGACAGCTGTGCCAGCGCCTAGCCCCTCCCTTTCACTCCTTACTCCACTGGGCGTCATGAGGTGACAGTGTGCACGTGGGTGAAACCCCAACCCACGCATCCAACTTGCCTGTCTTCTCCCCAGCCCTCCCCAGCAACCTTCACCTGGCCACACCTGGGCCTGCGGCTGTACATGTGAACCTCAGGGATGAGGCCCACAGAGGCCCTGGAGGCATGCGTGGGGCCATCTGGGCAGGAGATTCTGGGGTCCCCAGTACCCAGGACATGTTTAAGAGGGGGAAAGGCAGGAAGGTGAGGACCTGGGTGGGCACGTGTCCCCGCCTCCAGACTCCTTGCTGGGTGCAGAAGGGCACGACCAGGAGATGGCCCTCTTGTGCAGGGTGGAGGGTGGGGCCAGAGGACTGGGACAGGTCACAGGAAAGTTTGGAAAACAGTATCATGAGAAAGGGCTTAAAAAGAAGCTCTCAAAGAGACTGGCGGTGCCGTGGGCCCACCATGGCTGCCGCATACACGTGGGCAGGCTGCGCACAGCTCAGCTCCGGGCTGCACATTTTACATCGACTCCCTGCAAAGGCAACCCCTCCAGGGGCGTTGCCCCTCTGGGTCCCAGGCTCCTGCAGTTTCCTCTCTGAGTTTTGACCTCAACAGTGATTTTTGCTTTGTAAAGTCTGAATGAGAGAAAATAGTTTTAAGGTCCCTTTTGCTTACTAGAATTACTTCTTAAACCCATGCCTGTTACATAAACACTAATTTAACATTACAGATATGACGCCAAAATGCTGACAAAGGTCTTCCCAAATAGTGGGGTACTTCCCTTTCATTCTGAGAGCCAGGATCACGCTCCTCATTTTTTACCCCGGGGAACCGCCTCTGAGCACTAGTCCTCCCTCCACTATTAACAGAGGCCCCACCCATTACTTAAAATGAATGATTATTTTTAACACTTACTCTTTGTGCATATCATAGGGAAAGAATAATGTAATTACTATAATTCTGTCGTCTTAGATTCCTCCCTATTTTGCTCTCTGAAGACCTCAAATTTGCTAATCCCCAGGCTGTGACAACACCTGCCTTCTTAAATTGTCAGCCTTCTTTGATTTCCAACCCCCTCCCGTTTCATGGTTCCTAATTCTGCTGCTACGTTGTTGACCTTTGTTTGTTTTATTCACACGTGATGTGTTTCTGTCAGCTGTGCTTGCACTTTTAGATAGTACAGAAGAAGGTCACTCTGAAAGCTTTGGAGACAGTTGGCTGTGGGATAAAACAGTGAGGAGATGGAGGCTCAGAGATACTCATTTCCTGAGCTTGCAAAGAAATCCTCAAAAGACTCTGAGAAGCTGAGGCCTCCTCCCAGGTGCCCGTCATTTCACGTCCTCGCAAGACATTGCTGCTCCTGCCCCAAGGCAGGTGAACCGACCAGTTCAGCTCCCACAGCATGCGCAGCCCTGAGAACAGGGCAGGGCCAGAAGTGGGGCTGGCCAGCCAAGGGCAGGAAACCCATTCTGGGTAAAGGGGTAGTGTCAGCCAGCTTCCTCCTCGGTGGAGCACTGGAGAGGCCCAGAGCCCCGTGGGGCACAGAAACCCCGACCCATCTTGTCCACGGGGGCCTGGCTTCCTGATGAGGCAACCCCTGCCTTTGGAAAAGCAGGAAATGGAATGCGAGATTGCGCTGACCATTTTTTAGAGAACTATTCATTTTGTAAAGTCTCAAACTACTTATGATGCCCTATGACTGATCTCATTATCTTTTCTGCTAACTCTTCCTGGGGCACTTGAGTGTTGAGTGGGTTCTGACCGAGTCCAGCTGCCCTGGCCTCCATCTCACTTCTCTCCTAGCTCTTGGAGGGCCCTACCCACCCCTCCCCGAGCTCCTGCCGTGGCTCCTTGAGCCCATCCCGGGACTTGGCTGCCCAGTGGCTTCTGGCCTCTTGCCTTAGCTTGTGTTCACTTATAGCAACTCTCTGTCCCTGTTGGGGAGCAATTTCTGAGATGATCTATTTGGTTCCCCATTTACTTGCACTAAGGATCTGAACCTTTTGGAAGGATTGGAAATCATCAGTGTGGATTGAACATCTGAGCGTCTGTACTCCGCTCTAAGACAAGGAACATTACATGAGTGCTAGCTGGTGTGTAGGATGTTTTCCTCTATACCTAATGGCCCTGCACCAGCGTGCACTTGGAGTTCTTGCCTTCTGATTTTCATTTTTGCCATTAATGAGTTGGCTTTAGACATCTCTCCTAGCTCATTCATATACTTCGCAGATTTTCTTTTCTTAATATGCTTATGGACTGAAGTGACAGATCCCCAGAGGTGTTAGAAGTGTGTCTAAAATCATCACAGATGCCTGAGTGAGGCCCTGGGGTGGAGAGGGTGAGCATTCAGAGACCAGGGACATGCGCTTCAGTGTATGGACTTTGGGAGACTTTAATTTGGAAGATCAAGATTTTTTTTTAAGATCTTGTAACTCTTTTGGGCTTCAATTTCCTTATCTCCAAAGTAAGTTACCAGTCTTATTTACCTGAGTTCTTAGAGATGTTTTAAAAATAAAAGTTTGTATTAAAGTATAACTCACATATAAAAAGTAGACAAATCACAAGTGTACAGTCAGATGAATCTTTACAAAGTAAATACTTGCTAATCCAGGTCAAGAAATAAAACATCATCAGTGTCTTGAAAGCCCATGGTTTATGCCCATTGCCAATCTCCTCTACTCCCCTATGCCCTCTGAAGGAAGTCTTTATAAATGAAGTTCTGCACACCATATTTCTTTTGGGTCTCTCTTTTTGATGAGATTCATCTCTGAGTCATGTAGCAGTGTTCTGTTTTCATCACTGTATAGTTTTCCCTTCTGAGATTCCCACCACAATGTATCCGTTCTTCTGCTGGACATTTGGGTGATTTCCAGGGTTTGGGGATGCTGTTGAATTAAGAAGCTGTGCGTTGTAAGTATCTTCTGGTGCACTCATGTACACATTTCTGTGGGCAATACCAAGAATGGAATTGCTGGATGATAGGCTATGCCAACAGCTGTAAGAGATTGTACCAATCACCTTCCCACCAGCAGCAAATAAGATGGTCAAGGAATGTTTCATTAATCTTTATCACGAATAAGTGTGTTTGCCAAATAAATGCCCCTAGTAAGAGGAGAAGCAGCGGAGTGTGGCAGAAAGCACACGAAAGGGAGACCTCCAGTGAAGCATAAAATCCTTCTGGACCATGAAGTCCTCATACCTGAAGCAGAGCTGATCTCGAAGACCACTTTCATCTCTAAGACTCTGAGGAGAATCATTTGGTGATTCTCATGAGAAGTGCTTGGTTCATCCGGTGTCTCCCTGTGCCGGGCCCAGGACCAGCTCTGGGTGGACGTTGAACAGCAGACGTGTCCATACGGGCCATGGGTGTGCTGCCTCAGGAGCAGAGCTTGGACTGCAGCAAGGACGCTGACGGCTGAAGGGCTTAGGAGGGGCTGCTGGGAAGTGAGCAGGAAGCATTTGCAAGAAGGGAAAGATCTGAGGCCAAAAAGAGCCGCAGGCGTGGCAGTGCTTGGGCCACTGCGGGCGAGTCACCAGACCGCTTGGCCACACACGCCACCACCTCTACGCCCAGAGTCTGGGCGGGGCCTGGGGGTGGAGGGAGGCCGTGGCTGTGCTTGGACCCAAGTCTCAAGAGGGACTCGGAGAATGAGAATCTGTTATTTTCAGCTTCTGTAGAGGGAAGGGGGCCCCAGGCTCAGGAAGGGGTTCAGACATTGGACCACTAGGGCCATGGGTACTGATGAAAAGAGCTGAAGCAATTTTGGTTGTCATCCTTCCTGGGTGTTTTTTTGGGGGGGGGGTTGTTTTTTAAATCACAACTAAAGAGGATCCAAACACTCAAGTGCCTCATTGTTTTCTCCTGTTAAAGCTCCCAGGAGCCACATCTTGGAGCCACCCACAACCGGCTCATGTTCAGAAGTGACCCAGCTTCTCCAAACCACGCAAGGTATGCAGGACTGGCCGGGCCGAGGGGTGGATGGATCAAGGCCCCGCAGCTCCCACTGTGGGCAGGGTGAGTGTGTGTTCCCAGACCTGGGGCACAATGGTTCGTGATTCTGCAATGAAAGGACTGTCTCCATACAAAGACCCGAGCAGGTACTACTCACTCTGAGAGGAATGGAAATCCGCTTCCTCCCGCCTGCCCTGATGCACACGTTCCGTGAGCGCAGTGTGTCTCCCTCTTTAACCCCCAGCCCTCCTGGCCACTCCTCTGTGGCTGGCCAGACCTGCTGGCTTTTATTTACATCGCTGAGTCCTCCTCGCCGGGCCACTTACGGACCATGAAACAACCACATCTGCCCTTCCTCTCCCTGGCATCACCTCCCCCCTCATGGTGCCTCCTCTGACAAAGTTGCCTCATCCTCTCCTGAGGGCCCTCCTTCCAGCCCCCTCTGCAGGCAAGCAGTCAGTCAACTCAGTCTGAGAGGAGGGCACTCGGTCCCCGAAGAATATGACCGAAAATATCTCATGGGCGTGCGCTCCAGCCCTCACCACACTCCGGGTGAGTCACTTTGGGCACTGCCTTCGTCCTGAGGCTCTTTCAAAAAGCAGAGACTCCCAGAAGAGGTCAAGTGTTGAGTCACCACCCCTGGTGTCCCACT